TCCATGGATGATCCACCTGAGGGACTCCTTCGTGGTCCGCACCATCCTCTCCGCCTGCCTGCTGGTGGCTGGGTGAAAGGGAGTGGATGTGCCATATTAGGTAGCAGCCCAAGAACTCCTGGAACTCCCCCAAAGTGAATGCAGTCCTGTTGTCCGTCACGAACATGTCGGGTAGGCCGTGCATGCTGAAGATTGCTGCTCTGGAGGTGGTGGAGGCAACTGGCATGACCTCCAGCCATTTGGTGTAGGAGTCCACCAAAATAAAGAATATTTGTCCTTGGAAGGGGCTGGGAAAGTCCAAATGAACCCGGGACCAAGGGTTGCAGATGGACTCCCAATGCTGCACGGGAGCACCTCGTGGTTCCAGCTGGGTCTCTTGGCAGGCCTGGCAGCACTGGACCCAGGCCTCTATTTTGCTGTCCATTCCTGGCCACCACACATAGCTCCACGCGAGTGTCTTCATGCAGGGCCGCCAATACTTGCTGGCGCAGTAGGCACCCATTGTGAGCAGAGAGCTTGTCCCGGCAGGATGAGAAGGCTGCAAAGTCTGGGCCCACCCAGTCCAGAATGCGGGAGAGGATCCGGTTCTTTGCAGTGTGGTGGGAAATGTCCACGGCATGCAGAGGGCGGTTGGGAAGCTCCTGCAAGAGCAAGATCTAGTGCACAGGAGCCGGGTCCGAATTGATGGAGCTGAGTGGCAAGCGGCTGAGGGTGTCAGCATGCCCCATCACCTTCCCAAGACGGTGGAGAAGGGAGTACTGGTATCCCACAAGAAATATGGACCAACGAAGAACCCACAGCAAGAGCATCTGAGGGGGGGTTGGCAATCTGGGGCAAGAAGTCCCAGCAGAGGCGTCGCAATGGTGAACGGCCGCCCATAGAAGTAGTTATGGAATTTCTTGACCCCCGCAATGATGGCTGCTGCCTCCTTATCGATTTGCGCATAGTTGTGCTCGGCTGAAGACAGGGTGAGGGAGTATTATGCCATGGGGACTTCCCTGCCGTTCAGCAGCTGGTGGCCAAGAACGGTGCCAACCCCATACGGAAAAGTGTCACAAGCGAGCACAACAGGCAGCTTTTCATTGAAATGGGCCAGGACTGCTTTGGAGGTGAGCAGCTCCTTCATAGCCCTGAATGCAGCGGCTTGCTGTCAGCCTCAGACCCACAGGGCCTTCTTGTCGAGGAGGAGGTGCAATGGCAGCACAGCTTTATGGGGCAAGAAGGAATGGTAAAAGTTCAGGAGCCCCAAGAAAGCCTGTAGCTTCTGCTTGGAAGTGGGCATGGGAGTGTTGACATGGCATGAACCTTGTCTGGAGCCGGATGGATGCCTTCGGCATCTACAGAGAACCCCAGGAACTCGACCTGAGGAACACACCCAGGAGGCACTTCTCCCGCTTCACCTTTAGGCTGGCCGACTGGAACCGCTGCAGGATGGCATGCAACCGGCTAATGAATTCCCCCTTTGTTGGGGCTGCAATTAGAACATTATCGAAGAAAGGCTGGAACCCAAGGATTCCTTTAAGAAAAGAGTCCATGAGATTATGGAAAATTCCTGGGGCTACACTGACACCAAACAGTAGCCGCCGCACCTTGAAGGCGCCCCTGTGCATGATGATTATCTGGGCCTCAGCGGTTGCATCATCCACTAGGGGGCTGCTGGTAGACCTGGGCCAAGTCTAACTTTTTGAAAATCTTGGTACCCACCAGGGAGGCCAAGACGTGGCTGACTACCGAGACCGGGTAGAGGTGGTCCTGCAGCGCCTCATTAATGGTACATTTATAGTCCATGCAGATGCAGACGTCCCCATTGGGCTTAACGGCTGTAACAATCAGGGTTCAGTTGTATGGACCGCACCTCTGAGTTGAGCTGGAGGGAGACTGGGGTCCGGTGTACCAACCGAGTGTCCCATTGAAGATGGCTGGGAATTCGTTCCACACCTGCTGAAAGTCTTCTTGGGCAATTTGGTGTGCCCCTGTGACTCGGAACCCCAAGGGCGCGAACCATGCTAGTCCCAGTAAACTCGTGCGACTGCCTCCCACTACCAGCAATTCCAAGAGCCCTTCAAAATTCCGATACTGCAACCGAAACTTTCCCACCCCTTTCACAGCCACTTAATTCTGTTGGAAGTCCTGTAGGGTGAAACCAGCCAGACTAAGGTGAGGGCCCCCAGTCGGGCAGAGCCTACAGAGGGTGTCCTCTGAGATTATGGAAATGGATGACCCTGTGTCTAGCTCCATCATGCAAGGTGCTCCCTTGATTAAAACAGTCACTTTAATTTTATCAGGGGTGTCTTGGGGCAAGTCAAGTACCTGGTGTGGCTGGGTGGAGGTGGTGTACAGTTCTGTGGCAAGTGCAGCCTCCAGATGGGTGGACTGTTGCCTCCGGGTCCCCTTGGAATGGCAGGTGTGGGCTATACGGCCAATCTTTCTGCAGCTTCGACATGTGGCGTCTCAGAAACAGCAGGATTTCTGCTCGTGGGTCTCCCTGCAGCTGGCAGAGGGTGTTGAGGTGGCAGGTTTGCTGGCGCAAGCTGTGGCAACTGTGCAAGTGCCATGGCGGGCTAGGCGATGCATCCACAAAACCTCCTCGCTGTCGGACATATCAGAGGCTGAGGAAATGGCAGCCTGGTGCACTGCAGCGGCATGGCGGTCAGTCTTCTGGTTGCCAAACTCCCAGGACTTCTTGAATGCTGCAGCCTCCTGGATCACCTTTTGGAGGTTTGTGTCCTGTTGGCCAATGAGCTTGTGACGGAGCTTCTCGTCCCAGACCCTGAACACGAAATGGTTGAGGAGGACTTCTTCAATTTTGTGGAACTCGCATCAGCGAGCCAGTCGGTGCAGGGCGGTCACATAGTCAGAAGCTGATTCGTTGGGCCTCAGATTCCGATCAAAGAAATCGAGGTGGCAAGCCAGTCGGGTGGGCTGGGGTGCAAAGTGGTTGGTGAGCACCATGATGAGACCATCAAGCTGCAACGTGGCAAGCTGCAACGTGGTCGATGCGATGAGTCCCTGGAATTCCATGAAGTACTTCAGGCGTTCCACACAAGCCTCCCATTGCACTAGGTGAGTGGGGTCGAACTCTGGAAGTAGTCCTGGAGCGGCAGCCATGGTCCCGGTTGCGGTGCGATACGTGTGGCACTGGAGCTTGGTGCATGGTGCGGTGCAGGTGGGCGCAAGGCTTGCTCAACAGGATCCCATCCTCGTCACCAGTGTTAAATACTGGTTCAAGATGCATTACAGTTAACAGCTCTCCTTTATTAAGTGATTTCAGGAACAAGACTGAAACCTCAGGGCAATAACCCTGTTTGAATAGCATGCAAAAACCACACCCAAACACACCCAACTCCCAACGATAGGCTGTTTACATAACATTAGTTTCTCATTCCTTACACACACACCCCGTCTGCCTGAGCACCGGACATCGTGCAGCCAGAAGAAGCTGAGCCAAGGAATGCTTTCACCAGGGTGTCGGTAGGGAATACCCCCCCTTGTACCAATGTGTGGCTGTAGTTAGGGTCGATATAGGTGATTAGCACCCAAGAACTGTAAACCGCCCAGAGACCCCTACGGGGGTTAGGGCGGTATATCAAGCCGAAGGATAAATAAATAAATAAAAATAAATTGGTCTCCTCCAGAGTCCTGGTGGGCTATTGTTCTTCAGCTTCAAGCTCAGCCAGTCTCTGGTACCCAGTCCTGGAATATTCCAGCCCTAATACATAACAAGATCCCTCCCAAGCTCATGCCACTGCTGCCTGGCTCCACGGTGATGACTCATGTTAGAGCTGGCTGGCATCAGCATGAGTGTCTGTGTGTCTCTGTGTGTGGGGAGGGTCATGCTTCCTCCCATGTTGCACTACAGCTGGTTCCAAAGCAGGTTTAAGGGGTCTCTAAGCCTGGAGGAATTGTGTGCTCCCTCTCTGAAAGCTGCTCTAGTGCAGATTCTCTGCAACTTGGAGCAGTAGCACCAATACAGATAGTGTGTAGGTCACCTACTATGCCACTCTAACACAGACTGAGGATTGATTCAGCCTGCCTTGTACCTGGTATGTAGGGTTGCCAGCTCTGGGTTGGGAAATACCTGGTGAATTTGGGGGTAGACATTCAGAAGGGCAGAGTTTTGGAAAAGGAGGGGCTTTAGTGGAATATAATGTCATAGAATCCACCTTCCAAAGTGGCCATTTTCTCCAGGTTAACTGGAGACCTGGAGACCAGTTGTAATCCCAGGAGATCTCCAGTCAGCACCTAGAGACTGGCAACCCTTCTGGTCTGGAAGGCGACAACAGGAGCAAGAGGAGAGGAGAGATTGGATTTATACCCCGCCCTTCACTACCCAAAGGTGTCTCAGAGCGGCTTACAAACTCCTTTCCCTTCCCCTCCCCACAACAGACACCCTGTGAGGTAGGTGGGGCTGAGAGAGCTCTTGACAGAAACTGCTCTTTTTCAAGGACAGCTCTTATCAGAAATACGGCTTTCCCAAGGTCATCCAGCCAGGTGCAAGTGGAGGAGTGGGGAATCAAACCCGGTTCTCCCAGATTACCACCTGCTGCTTTGATGTTCCAAGTGACTGCTGGAATTGCTTGGGCAGTAAGCTAGCCTTGCCTGGTGTGACAATACAATAATGGTATGCACAGGAAGTTTTTACATAGAGGAGGATTTAAAATGTGGCTCTTCCTACTTGCAGTCTGAAGAGGTACAACCCATTTGACTACCTTCTGCTTATGTGTAGACCAGCTCTTCTAGCACTAGCACCCATATGGAAATGTGTTATAAAATGACCCAAGCGGGGAAACCTAACCCTTTAAAATTATACACACCATTCTTGTATAAGTTACAAATCAGGCAAGTTTAAAAACAAAACAGAATCTTACAGCAGTGCTTTGGACCCTTTTTTTTTAAAGGTGATTAATATTAGACAACATGCTTACAAGTATATTCAACAAAATCTTCCTGCTCCACTACAGTTTGCATCCCTAATGAATTAATACTCTTACAATCTGGTCTTATTTGCAGGTTTGCTGCATATATACTTTGGAGGCCTAGGACTTTGTTATATCTTGGTGTTTAGTTGTATGTTAGTCCTTCACTGGAGGAAAGGAATCCAACGAGAACGACGTGCAAAAGCATGGGTGGAGCGAATGAAAACAGAATGTTTTTTCCATCGCACATTGGCTTATTGGGCTGACAAGGAAGCACACCCTGTGATTAAAAGAGAAGTGACCATTCCAGAATCTAAAAGCATTTCAAAGCAAGGAACAAGCAACTTCTCCAATGAGGCTACCAAAGATACTATGAGTGATTCCTTCCTTTCCCTTCCAGATGCAGATCCATACAAACCAGTATTTCACGAAGTCTCTTGTGCCAGTGCTCTTGCTCACCTGCCACCATTGCTTGAGCATTCAGCCTCCTATCCTTGCTCTAATATTTCAGCCATAAGCACTCCATTCAACTTGCCTCTGAAATTTGCTATGTTGAAAAATGAGTCACACCATGTTGGTAGCAACATATCCGCTTAACAGCCAATTTAGCAGACAGCTGTGCAATACAGAGCAACTCTACATGGTTAATAAGCACCTCAATTAAAGATTGGCTTCAGAATGCTTGTGAAATTCAGTGTTGTAGTCTGTTTTTTACTGGGAGGACAGCAAGGGTCTACAGCAGATGTAAGTTACCAAAATGATAAAAGGGGTGCCTGTAATTTAAAGATACAGGCATCCTTGATAACCTTCGCTAGGCCACAACAGCATTTCAACCTTGGTTGGTGCTCTTCCCAGGGCTGTTTGTGCCTTTGAGGGGGGACTCATTAAGGCCAGGCCCAACAGCAGCCACTTGGCAACTTACATGACTCACCTGGGCCTGGTTGCTTGCTACTACCTCATAAAAGCCAGTGTAATGGTTAGAGTTTCAGATTAGGGTCTGGGAGACCCAGGTTTGAATCCCCCCCTCTGTTGAGGAAGCTCACTGGCTGACTTTGGGCAAGTCACATATTCAGCCTAACCTACATCAAAGGGTGGTTGTGAGGATAAAATGGAGAAGAGGAAAATGAGGTCATCTGCTTTGGTCTCCATTGCAAAGAAAAGTAAATGAAGTACACTAATAAATATAGCTGAAGATGGAGGGCAGATAAAAGGTAGGTAGGTTGGTGAGGTGGGAAAGAGAAGGAACCAGGCAGGGGTGATGATATGGAAGCTAGGAAGAGAGAAAGAGGAAATAATGTGGGGAAGGGGATATGGGGGGAAGTGACGTCCCCCCATAAATCCTTGTAACTTCCCCATCACAGCTGGCTCAGCCAACTCTGTGCAACTTGGTCAGAGTTTTCCTGAGGAGAGGCTACTGGGGGAGGGAAGGAGGGAAAGCTGAAGATGGGAGAGCAGATAAAGCTGGTTGGCTGGGAAGGAGAGAAGGAAGCAGAGAAAGTGGTGATGCTATGGAGGCTTTCAGGAAAGGAAAGAAAAACCTGGGGGGCAGGGAAATGACATACTCTCCAGAAGTCCTTGTGCCGCCCCCCCATAAGATTGAGTGCTATCTCATATAAAGCTTCCACGCCCTTTTTTCTGAAGGACAAAAGCTACTCAACTGAAATATTGGCCCTAAATTTTCCCAGGAAAAGAACATCTCTAAGGAAGAAAGAGAAGCAATTGATAATGTCCCCAGGGCCTTGCATATTCAGGTTTTCCCCAGACCATCAACTATCAGTGAGGATCTGTACTCGTAGCACATTATTTGAGGTGATGTGAGCAGTACTCAAGTAGCTTGCCTGTGTGGATATCTTCCCATTCTGCAGTTCTGAGAATCTGCAGCTAAAAAAACCCCACAGCAACATTTACAAATCTGTATGTATGTATGCAATCACAGCATGGTAATCAAGTTACTGAAATGGCACTAATTGCACCAAGGAATCCACGTTTAAGTAACGTTAATAATTAGCAATGTATATTTACAAATACAAAGCACACAGCTCAATTCTATGCGTATGCACATTTACTTAGAAACAAATTATACTTTCATTGAAATATTTAAACTTTCGTTATACCCTGTATTTCTTCACAATGGGGACCCAAAGCATCTTTTATCATTCTCCTCTCTTATTTTAACTCTCAATAATCCTGTGAAGTTAGGCTAAGAGTGTGTGATTGGCCCACACTGACTAATAAGCATGCATATGATTGCTGCCATAGCTGTTGCTGACTTTTCTGGTGGTGAGGCAAAGGATCACAGGAGACATTGATTAAGTGATAAATCAGGTACAATGGGTGAATCTTCAATGGCAAATTGTCCAAAAGTTATCCCTTCAACCATTCTCCTCTTGGGGGCACTTTGAAACAGAAAATTGATATGGGGGAAAACTATAGTATGTGGAATATTTCGGACTCCTATCCAATAGAGTGATACAAAATAGATAAGTATCATCAATAGCCAGGGGTCATTTCGTAGAAAAAGAGCTGCAGGAGCTAATTAGCATAACTTATTAGCATATGCCACACACCCTGACATCACCGGAAGTGTGCACCAGCCCCTCTGACAGGCAGAAGCACCTGGGATCCATCCTCCCCCCCCTTCCCTTCACCTCCAAGTCGGGCGAAGGAAAAGGGGAGGGGGAGGATCTCAGGCACTTCTGCCTGACAGAGGTGCTGGCATGCCCACAGCCAGCCTGGGTGAATTATAGAATCATAGACTCATAGAGTGGGAAGGGACCTCCAGGGTCATCTAGTCCAACCCCCTGCACAATGTAGGAAATTCACCAATACCCCCCACACACCCCAGTGACCCCTGTTCCACACCCAGAATTTGATTTAAAAAATCCTCCAGGATCACTGGGGGCCAAACTGGCCTGGAGAAAAATTGTTTCCTGGCCCCAAAGTGGTGATCAGCATTTCCCTGGTCGTGTAAGGAAGGGGCACAAGAACTACGGTAAGCACTGATGCAACCCTTCCTGCTCTACCTCTCGTGATTTGCCTAAGTTCACACAATCAGCATTATGATCCTTTTAAAGTTGAAAGCATGATATAAATGCAAAGGACTATTTGTAAGATTATCTGTAAGACACAAGACCAGGACACATCTCATTTCTGGCAATCACTTCGAGAGACCCTATCACTCAGCTTCCATTACCCCACACACACCCCACACTGGAATAAGAACATAATATCAGACCATACCACATTGCAATAAAGCCCCTACAACTGTATACAGAAATACTGAGCTTCCCTACCATTTGCCACGACTAGCCCACCACACAACCAGGATCAAGACTCCTAAGTGGACCAACAGACAGGCATACACTCATTTGAGAAACTGAGTATTACATTACAACACCTCTGGAACATTACAGATCAGTAGAAGCAGCACTGCACAGTGGTCAGAGTTGCAGATTGATGTGGGGAGACCCAGGTTTGTATTCTCACTCTGTGTGCAAAGAAACTCCTGCCGCCCCAAGCTTCAGGGCTGCCTTGTTAAAGGAGTGCGGAGGCCAGACTCGCAAATAAGAAAAAGCAAGCCCAGGGTTCGCAGGTCACATTTTGGGCTGTGGAAGAGGAACCGGCTCCATTCCTGGAGTTCTCTCGAGTTCCTGCGCTTTTGGTTTTGCTTTTTGCCAATCCGCCTCCCAAGACTGCTCCAGGTGCTCCTGCCTGAGGGTGGCTGGGGGCAGGGCTCATTACTTGTGGAGCTGAGGCTTAACGTCTCCAGCTGCTCCGCCATCTTCCCTTCCCTTGGTTTGCTCGGGGAGCCCGAGCAAGCCGGCTGCTGGAGGGAAGGAGAGGTGGTTTAAACCACCTTCCCTTCCCTTGGCTTGCTCAGGATCCCCGCGGCTGCAGAGAGCCCGAGCAAGCCGGTTGCTGGAGGGATGTGCATTCGGTTCGTCTGAACTGAATGCACCCTTGAAAATGGCCCATTCGGGCCCCTTTCAGGCTGCTGCGGGCAGAATCAGCTTCTCTGATCTGAATCGGCTTCCCACAGTTCGGCCCCATTATATCCTATGGGGCATTGAAGTCAATGGCGAAAACATAGGGTATATTCTGAGGGCTGGAGGAGAGGGGGTTTGAGGGAGAGGCTCCAAAATCTCAGGGTAGCTGATGGAGCCTCTCCCCAAGATACCCGCCATGTTTCAGGAACATTGAACCAGGGGGTCCAATTGTACGGGCCCCCAAACAGGTTACCCCATCCCCTCCATTGTTCTCTATGGTGGGAAAAAAGAGAGCTGGGGGAGCCAGAATGACCTCTGAGAACAGCGACAGCGGCCATAACTTTTTAAAGAGCCCCTCCCGAGAGCTGAGGGAGCCAGAATGACCTCTCCTGTGTCGTACTAATTTATGCAATGCTAACCCTAATTTGAGCGGTGGCTCAAGTGGTGCTGAACTGCAGGCTATGGACGGTCAGTAGTTCAGCAGTTCGAGACCTAAGTGTGCCGCATGACGGAGCTCCCGTCTCTACTTCCAGCTCCTGCCAACCTAGCAGTTCAAAAGCAAGAAATTGCAAGTAGATAAATAGGTACCACTTCAGTGGGAAGGTAACAGTGTTCCGTGCGCCTTGGTGTTTAGTCATGCCGGCCACATGACCACGGAAATGTCTTCAGACAGCGCTGGCTCTTCGGCTTTGAAACGGATGAGCACTGCAACCCTAGCTTTCGAGCAAGGGAACCTTTACCTTTAACCCTAATTTATTTCTGGCGTTGTTCTACTAGTTTTAATGAGAATGCTTACTTTGAACAAACAACTTAAGTGTTACAGTGTGAGTCGCCTGTAAGCCTACAGTCACATCCTTTGAAAATTGGGGTCTCTTGACGTCCTTCGTACACTACGACGGAGGACAGGAGGACCTGGCTGATGTGGTCCGTGGGGTTGCGAAGAGTTGGACTCGACTGTGCGACTGAAGAACAACAACAACACACTACTATTCTTGCTAGTGAGCTCCTTTGATCAAA